CCCATTAAGAAGTGGAGGCTGGGGACTGTGAAGGGGAGAAGTAACAGAAGAGAGATTGATTATTTATTTATTTGACCTGCTTAGCAGCAGTAGCTGTGAAGCATAAAGCTATCTGCAAAGGATGATTGATTCCTCATCAAAGTCTGAAGCACAGAGAGGCCATGGTACTGCTTAATGTTCCCTTTGTGTTATTATTATATTTTTTTTTCTCCCCTGTTTTTTTTCAGAGGTACTATGTGTTCCTGACTTGCTGGGTACCTAGTTACCTGATGAGTGCTCATGGAAGAGATGATTATTTCATTTCTCCATCATGGGTAGGAGGTTACGCCAATACTTTTGTGAAAGACATCTAGCCAGCTCTGCTTACCTTGTGAAGCATTGTCCCAGTGCAATTACTTGCTCCCTCTTGGCATCTAAAAGGTGAATTGCAACTATTCATAGACCAGACAGTTTCTGTTGCAGTTTCTGTTCTTTGACTTTTTGAGTCTGCCAGATGAACAATTTGTGCCATGGAGGGTGCAGAGCCAGATTCAGTGAAAAGGGCATTTGCTGTGATGACCTGTGTGAGAATTAATGTAATAACCAGCAGAGTATGGGACCTGCTACCAAGGAGGTGACAGCATCAGCACTTAGCATGATGTCACTGACAACCTGGGGGTAAATTATTTTTTCCTTGTATTGGAACAAATAACACACACAGCAGGCCAGTATGTAGCCTGCTTGTGGAGATACCTTAGCTTGTGCAAATGTCCAGAGGATTGACAGGAGCAGCCTAGCAACATGCTCTAGGACACAGCAATCACAAGCTCCAGAATGAGTCATTGTTGCCCACTTTTGTGAACATGCTCCATGTGAAAGCAATACCCAAAGACAATTGTCAAGTCCCAGTCCAAGCTAATTTAGCCAACACAATGATTAGGTTTCCCAGAATTTGAGAAGTCCAGGCATCTTCTGTATTAGGTTTTCAGTCACTTTTTACTTATTTGCAAGCCCCATTCCTTGGGGAAGAAGAGGTGAGCCAGGGGCCTGCTGTGTGTGCAGTGAGCAGCCATAGAATGAAAAGGATCCTGCCCAAAATGCTTGCAATAGGGAATGGATGGCAGGAGGAAGTGCTGAACTAGAATGGTGTTATCAGTGTATAGCTCAGTGTGCTGGGCAGAGGTGTTATCCAGCTGCAATCTCTCTTACAGTGTTCAGAATACACTCAAGGTGTATTTCTCTCACACACTTTTACCCTGCTTGCAGCACAGGCTGGTAGGCTCAGAGGAGATCTGCAAAATGGTGTCACATTTGCTCATCTATCAATTAAAATCCTACATAGTATTTTTAGAATTATTATAATAACATGATCATTTTGGTAAACTCAAAGCATTTTATTTGCCTGTCCTTAGAGGTTTTGTTTATCCCTTACTCATTTTTACATGCTGATACCCAGTTCTAAGGTAGTCCAGGAATTTTCTTTTTCTTTTAAAAAGGTGAAGTGGTCTCTTGATTCAAGCAAATTGAGAAACAGAGCCTAATGTATGTCCAGGCAGTCTTTGTTCCTTTTCACTGGTTGTTCTCTCATGTTTACATTTCTAGGCACATTTAGAAGATATCTATGATTTATTTATAAAACGTTTTTATTTTCTGTGATCATTTATGGCGAATTTAATAGTTTTCTATAATTGCTATAACTCAGTTTGGATTAATAACTATTTGCAAAGGAAACACAGCATCACGGGAATGCAACTGTTCTAGTTAAAGCACTGACAACACCACATGTGGCTGTGTGCTGTCCTGCTGCAAGGCCTCACTGGCTTATGCTGGCAGGATTTTGAGGTTCTCTTGAGTTGTGCAGTGGGGCCTGAGGTGAACGTGGTATTTCTCTGATTTGGCATAGTTTGTCTAATTAACTAGAGCTGCTGCAGCAGCTGCTGTGATCTAATCTGGCTGCGGACATAAGCTTAAAATGATAGGAAAGGATAATGTGACCTAAAGGGCATCAAAAGTATAATTTTACAAATATCCTCCTGTAGGCCTTCCTTTGGTTTGGAGAATGTAATTTAGGTGCATTTCTTGCACTTCTTGCAGCACTGGAAAACCAGGACATGTGAGGAAAGCTTCAGCAATGGAGAACAATAAACACTATTAGCTGGGGTGACTTTCTTTCCAAGTGGAGGGTGTCCAGAGCAGTGATCTGGCTACCAGCCACAGGGGCCTTGTTTTTAGGGAAGCTGGAATAATCTATCCCACTAGAGATCTGGAGAAGTTCAGTGTGATTGGCAGCCACAGGGGATGCCACTTGTGGCCTCCTCATCCACATATTTCTGCAGTGTGCCAGAAACAGGACAGGAGGAGGGAGCCAGGAGAAAAAGAGACTGTCTAGTAGTGTAAAAACCAAAAACACATCCAAGCTAGCCAGGGAAACAGGCTGGATGACAGCAGGAACCTTAGAGCTGTGATGAAAAGAAGAAATGTGCAGAAGGAGTGATTTAGGGTTTTCTGCAGCTAGAGAAAGTGAGTCTGAGCTAGAAGAGCTCAAGACAGAAGAAGAGCTGGGGATAGCACCCCTCAAAGCTGATGTTTGTGCCAATGCTGGAAGCATCACGCCCTTAGGACCCTGCTGAACTTCTGTGGTGTAATGACAAAACCAATGGGGCACATACGTGATTACCTGAATCTTGTTACAAGGGTTCATTAGATTAAAAATTATCTGATGAAACCATACTCCCTAAGACTGACCCAGAGGATCAGTGATTTGTAGTAGCAGTAACTACTGAGAAAAATAATACAAGGGTTTGGTTGATGTGTTTGAGTTTAATAATGTAAATAGTAATATAAAATTATTTGCAGCATTGACTGCTTTCAGTGTTGGGATGGAAAAGAATTTGCAATTCTGGAAATGCAATTATTGAAGGTGATTATAATTTTGGCTTCAGTTAAATAATTTTCATTCCAAGTATAACACTCTCCACTCCAATGAGATTATTTATAACTTATGTATTGCACTTGAATTAATTGGCATATGGTACAAATTAACCCCTCTCAAAAATATGATTTATGTGCTTTGTTCTAACTGATCTATTAAATGCAGCTTTGTTTTATGTTGATTCTTGCCAATTTAGGCAAAGCGATTTGAGTTTACACTGTCCTGGCTTCTCTTTATCTGATCACTGCCCTGCTTTTTATAATTTAACAATTGCAATTATGTCAGGCATATATGATAAAGCTTATTGAAAATATAATGTTAGTTTCTTAAAATCAGAGAAAAAATATATAATAATTTCTTTCATCAAAATAATGAACTTTTTTCTGAGCCTTTTTATAGAATGGTCAATGTGCTGATTTTAAGCACTTAAAGAAGTAAGCGGTTGGTATTTCTGAATTAAGCAAGCTGGGACTTCTAAACAGAAATCAACTTCTTCCTGTGCAATAGGAAGAAATACATTCAAAATTTCTTTTGTTCAATATATAAAGGAATGCCTTAAAACATACAGGGTTTAAAACATTCATTTGCATTATAATAAAATTATTATATCAGAAAAGGTGCCTTATTAGTTTCCTGTTTTTCAGGTGGATGAAAAAGGGAAAAAGATTGAGGAAAAGACTGCATCCATATAAAGGAGGAAGGATTCCAACCTGTTATTAGGAAAACGTGATTTAGTTAGGCTAATCTTGTTTCTAAGTTACTTTGAAGGCAATTGTGAGCTCCAGTAGTGCTGTGAATGAAAACATAACTAAATAATGCAAGGAGTGTGTACATTTGTGTTTAGCTATCTACAGCAAGAGGGGTCTCTGTATGTCTGTGTATCTCAGGTAGGGATTAGATTTTTGTACTTGTCTTTAAAGCATCAAGATCAAGTGATGGAAGGCAGCCATTTGCCTTTCTCATTGTCACATTTTCCTGACTGAATTGGTGATGAATGTTCCCAGGGAAGGGGTAGGACTGGCAGCCACACTTCCTCCCTGAGAAGGAATGACTGTGGGTGACATCAAGACGCCTAGAAGATTGTGAAGGAAAATTGAACAGGATCTTTAATCCTTCAATTTAAGGATCTTTGATCCTTAAATTGTTGTGAGACTTAACTATACCTTTTTTCCATGTTTTTACATTCTTCTCTAGTCATCTGCTGCTGGCCATGTTAGCAGAGAGGGATGGTGGGGTAAATGGGTCTGGGGTCTGAACTAACCCAGATGTTCCTGCATGTGCTGTGTGTGCTGCCAAGAGATGGTTGCAGTAGGCATGTGACTCATTAGATTTATGAAGCTCTGAAGCACTGGAGTCTTTAGCAAAACTGTGATATGTCACTGGTAGCTGTTTTCTTTCTTCTGCTTTTCTTGCACAAGATGCTTTGAGCCTCTAACCAGATCTGATCTTTCCTGTGACTTCACTTCTACTTACAATTATTTGGGTGCTGCTGCTCTCAGCACACTGCTAGGTTAGTCCTCCTACTCCCCAGGCACAGGTGTTCTGCTTTTCCCATGGTGTCATTTTAAAAATGTTGCAATGGGAGAAAATGTCTTTCTAAAGAAAGCCAGGCACACAGTGTAAGCTCTCTAGCTTTCCATTACTGGAAGTTGAACATTAAAGTTTTCTTTACCTCAACCAATGTTTGCTTTGATTTCCTGTGTAATACCTTGACCTGAAAGAGAAAAATCATCATAGAATGATAGAATAGCCTGAGTTGGAAGGGACAATTCTCTTGCTGGTTTTCCTTTTATTTTGTGTGTAGGTAGCCACAAGAAACTACTGCAGTCATGTTTTAATATAAGAGCATGTTTAGTTAAGCATGCCCTTAATTTTGGTGAGGGAAATTTTGTTTCAACTTTGTTTAGAGAACTCAACATTGATTAGTAAAGAAACCTGTTTCCCTCTCCAGCTAATCAGAGAAATTAGAGTATTTTCCTAGTATTTCCTGTGAAGCTGTAAGAGGAAATATCAGGGTTGGCCTCAGTTTCTCTCAATGCTTACTATGAAGACAACCCCCTTCTCTTTCTTTCTTTGATTCCAGTGTGAGTAAACACTAGTAAGCAAAGCAAGGAAAGCCTCAAACAAACCTAGACAAAGAAGGATGCCCAGGAAATGACAGTAAGGCAGCCACAACTTCAAAGTAAGGGACTGAGAAATGCTAACAGCCCTTGAATGGTGTTGGAAGGGTGGTGCTCAAGCTCTCTGTAGTCTGCCAGCTATCCTTACCAATCTCTTGACACCGTCAGCTCCAGCGCCACACAAACTTTTCAGAACCCTAAAAGCCACACATTTACATCCCTTTGCTATATTTAATTTGAAGTATGGTCTGTTTTAAAGTCCTATTGAGGTGGCCAAATTCAAACCTTCTGCAAATGCTACAACATCGAGAGGACTTATGCACACAGTGGAGGAGGACTGTATGTGACTGTGAGCTGCTGTGTGAACTTGGAAGGGGGTTGCGTTGGTTCCAATATTGCATCTGTCACAGTCAGGGTACAGCTGACTGTGGGGCTGGGGCTAGCTGTTTCCAATGTAGAAAAAGCTTGTCACACTTCATGTCCCACTACAGCTCTGTGTTCATCTTGTTTTTTCATTCAGGCTCGTTTTTAGCCCATGGCCTTTCCCATTGACCACCACTAATTCAGCCACCACCTCCTCTTCAGAGGGCAGGCTGAGCAGCCTCTTGATTGCCTGGTTTGATGCAACATGCCAGTGAGTGCCACTGCCTGAAAGAAGGACATTAGCAGTGTTGGCTGAGGTGTGTTGGAGCTGCTTACACAGGGTGGGATGGTGTCTGGTACCTGATAGAATCAGAGGTAGAACAAAAACCTGGGGTCCTTGTTTCTCACATCTCTGCCCAGTTAGCAGAGTGCATTTTCTTCTGCTTTCTCAAGCAGCTATGAGCTTTCCCTCTTGCACCACCTGACCACCAGATCAATGTGAATGCCACAGCTTTAGCACTTTCATCCACTTCATAAGCACTGGACAGCTGCTGTAATGCTTGCAACACTCATGATGTCACTGCTGGGTTTAAGCCAGTGGTCTATTTTATGATTAGAGGTTTTTCTTCACTGGAACAACTTCAAGATTTTTTCATCACTAGCTCCTGTTTATCCCTTGGACCACTGAAGTGTAGAACATGGAAAGAAAAGGAGTGAGGGGGAGAAATAAACTGGTCTGTGGGAGAGACTGGCAACAGTGCCTGTCTTAAAAGTTCTCTGCAAAACTCATCTCACAAAAACTCAGAACCTTGCTGAGAATTTTCTTCTTATATGGGAAAACATGAAATGAGCATTTCTAAGTGAGAGGGCTGGGGGTTTCCTGCTCTTCTGCAGCAAATACAGACAGATCATGCTTTCCACCCACTGGCCTTTTCTGTGGAGCCATTTGCATCCCGAGGGACAGAACAGAGCAGCTCACAATAAACATTACTCTGTCTGCATTAGTTTTTACATTTCTTTGTTTTATTTCTTGTTTTTGTTTGAAATGACCTGTACCACAGGAATACAATTTATTTAACAGGTTGTTATTTTTTTAGGAGCAGATAATAGTTAAGTAGATACTGTTTATTTCACTGACTGTCTATGACTCTCTGCATAATTCTCACAGCCTCTATCTCTCTCTGGCTTCTCCATGAAACCCAGCCACAAGAACAACAGAGCAGCCTTTGGCCATACGATTGATTATAGCTTGTGGATACAAAGTGGAAGCTCTGTTTTCTTAGCTCCAATTGCTTATAAAAGCTCAACATGTTACATTCTAGGGTCTTTCTCAATTCCTTGCCCCTCTAATAGCTGCTTACATGTTTCTGGTGAAGCATGTTTTATTTTATATATTTATAATAGATAAAAAAAAAAAAAGATGGCATAGCTTACAAAGAGAAAAATAATGCCCCCTTAGCATGAGCAATACTGCAAGGTTCTGATTGTTGTGGGGACATTTCTTGTAGCTTCACAGTTTTGCTGCGAGGTGTAATGCCCAAGTTTCCCCAGAAACTTAAAATCAGAGTGATAATTTACCTTTTAATTGATCCCCATGAAATTTGTTTTGTATTACAGGTCAGACACTGCTGTTCCCAGAGAAGAATGTGCCTAAAACAAAAAAGCTGGTCACTTGGGAAGAACTGCCTTTTGTAGTAGCTGACAGGTACATGGTTTCTGTTATCCATACATGCAAATCAGGGGCTGGAGCTGCTTTTACCATAGTTGCTGGTGTGGGTTTATTCACTATCACTTATACAATGTCCTCTACTGCTTCTCTTTTCTTTAAGTCATGGAGCCCATCTGTGTCCCAAGGCTCAAGCTCCATCATCTTTTGCCCCATGAAGAAGGACAGCTGTATCATTCTGACTTTGTGAATCCTATATTACAAATGAGCAGCATAAAGAGTATAAAACTCATCTCCTAGTTCATGTCTCACATTCCACATCCCCAGACCTTTTTGTAAGAGACTGTGAGCATTCAAAGACCTAAGCAGTTGCTGAAGCTTCATTTCCTACTTCAAAGTGCATAGGTGGGACTACACTGTTACAGTCCTCTGTAATCCCAGCCCATTGTGTAGCTGGAAATGCTCCTCAGCTGTCTCAGTGTGGTAGTACTAGTGATGCACAGCAGATCAGAGTAACTGGGAAGAGATGATTGTGATTCTTGCACTTGTTTGAAGGGCTCGAGAGACCTGACCTGTTTCCCAGTTTAGGATGGTACAAACCTTTGGAGGGTTAAATCTAGACAGGTGTTTGTGTCCCAGTTCCTGGGGAAGAGTTTGCATTCCTTGGTTAGAGAGTTTAATATATCCTAAGTACTGTCTGCTTCACTTCCTATTTCAGAAGAAATGCAAACATTTTCCTGCATATTATCTTCAAGCAATGGGGAATATTTGGATGGCCTCCAGCATTATGCAGCTTTAATAGAGAAAGAAATTCCTGGAAAAAAATGTATTTGGTATCTTCATAATGCTGTGCCAAGGCAAGAGTTGCCTCCATCATGTAGCCCTAACCTAAATATCCAGCAGTCTCTGTGAGCTGGAAGCTAACTCGGCAGCTCTCCATGTTTTGTAGATAGTTTCCTGTTATGGAGAGCAGGCCTGAGTTCAAATACAACAAAGCTAAGAGAGCCTTTTGGGGTTTTTTTGGGTAGTGTTGGGTTTTTTTAATGGGGGGAGGTTGGGCAAATGTGTTGGTGTGTAAGTGACCTTTCTGGCAGGGCCCAACAGAGTAAGAATTGCTTCTTAGGATCTCAGCCCATTTTGGGACAGCTACCTTTGCACAGCAGGCTGGGACACAATGTGCTGCAGCTCAGCTGGGTGGGATTTGGCAGCATTGCAGCAGTGCTCGAGCGAGTCAAACTTACAGGTGATAATGCAACCCAGCACATCTGTGAAAACAATTATACCACAGCCAGAAAGAGTCTCTCGAGTGCAGCACATGGCAAGCTGGCTCTGTGATGGTGGCATGTGTTTCACTTTGGTCCCTCAGTCACAGATGGGTACAGGGATCATGAGTGCAACCAAAAGCCTCTCATTTTCTCCCCAGCTGCCTCTGGGAGGGAGTGGGGGAGAGAAGCACAAGTATCCACTCGAAGCACAAGGCTACTGTGTAATTGCTGCTGCTGGGAGTGCAGAAGGAGTCCCAGTTCCAATGTGCCTTCTGACCCTTAGGTCTCTGGTGATTTACTAATATGCCTGAAGCAAGACAATTCCTTTATCAAGTGAGTACAAAATGAGTGACTGTGTAGCATAGGAAGAACTCAAAGGAGATGGAATGGAACTAACTTAGGTACAAGGTGTGGGCTGGCTATGAGAGCTGAGAGGTCACCATGCCAGCACCCCTGTGTCTGAACCCATGCCAGGGCAGGGTTCTGCAGTACTGAAAGCCCAGGGTTCTGCAGTACTGACAGCCCTGCTGGGACACATTCTGCTCCAGCAAAAAACAAGCACCCAGTGTCTCTGATAGCACACCTCAACCCTAGTTTGGAAGACTTCCTCCTGAGGGCAATTTACTCCTCTGACACACCACTTTTCTCCTGGGGAAGCCAGGAAGGGGTGGAAGCGTGAGGAGAACAGACTCAAGAGAGTTAGTGGTGTCTCAAATGTAGATCAGAGGTTTTTTCTCACCACTAGTGCCATGCTGCTGACCACAACAAAAAGAGAATACACTCACGTTTTGTCAGCTCAGGATGGCTTAAAACTAAGTGACCTAGAAAATAAAGTTTCAGAGAACACCAACAGTCAGTTATGTCAGTTGCCTACATTCCCCTCTGGCTACTGGGAATGCAGCAGTTATGGCTTAGGCAGCAGATCTAAACAAGGTCTTGGAGACAGCAGGAACCTGGTTACATAAGAGTAAATAAACACTCTCCCTGTTCTTCTCCCACCACCTTAAGGTCAGGTATTTGCTTTCTGATCAGCAAGAGAACCTCTTATCAGCCTCAGGTAAAATCTATGCTAGCTCTTTTCCTGCTGTTGAGGATAATGGGATGAGGCAGGGGAAGACAGTAGTTGGAGTATTAGGGGTTTCATGCCATCCTCTAATTTATTTCCCTAGGCTGCCACAAGAAAGCAATCTCTCAGGCTCTAGAGATACCTCCTTTGAAAAGCAGTGCCCTTGATTCCTAACTAGAATTTGGCAATAAGCCTAAAGTCTCTGTGGAGCCAAAGAGCTCTAATGAAGTCTAGGAAAGATCTGGTTGGGGGTGTATTTATACTTGGGCAGTAACCATGCAGACAAAGCCTTGTGTTCTCTGCCACAAGGAACAGGTGGGGAATGGCACTCAGCTGAGCTGAAGAGGCAGGTGTGATACACTATGGGGTGAAAAGTGTGGAAGAACTGTAGTTAGCACCACATAGGAGAGGATGCAGAGGTTATCAAGTCAACCCAGCACTGAAGCATAACATCAGGCTCTTTTCTCTTGCCATTTGGGAAAGACTTGCATTTTCTCAGGGACATACATCCTACCTCTTCAGGGGCCTGTGGGGATTGTACATGGGAGGGACTAGCCAGGCGTAATGACACACTGTACAAGGTCGCAGAATATTTTACACAGTTAGGAGCATCTTTCCCAGTTAGAAGTGGGGCTTGTATGTACAAGTGTTAGAGGAGTCTGGGAGGCAGCCTTTTTGTTCAGGAGAGGTCCAGCAACATTGTTCTCCAGAGAAGCATCTACTCTATGGTAAGAGGCAAAGGTGACAAAAAGAAGGACCGTGGCTGCTTCCCTTTCTAACTGACCCCTCATAACACCAGCAGATAAAGTTTATATTGACTCTATTCTTCCTCTCTTCCTGCTTCTGTCCCCACTCCCCCTCCAGAACTGGCAGAGGGAGCTGGGGAGCTGACAGCTGGACAGCGCTGAGAGCATCACTGATCAGAGGGGCTGAGCCCCCATGATGCCTCAACAAGTGCAAGAGCATAATCTGGTATTTCCCACAGAGAAAACAACGAAAAAAAAGAGAAACAGGTGACTGATTAAAAGTTTCCCCCCTCCTGTACACAAGATTCTGCAGTCACGCCGACAGATAGACATTAAATAATTCTTCCATAATAAATGCTTGGAGATAAAAGCCGGCGGTGGCTGCTGCTGCTGTTTGGATTGCTCCGTTGTCTGCATCTTTGTTTCTAGTTTGTTCCCTGGCCACTGTTGGCTGGTGCTGGGGCTGTCAGACCTTTGCCTCTAGCATTTCTAGGAAGAGTTTATGCATGGGCACCTTGCCCTGCAGTTTGATGCTGTAGAAGTGCTGCACAGCTTTAGCAGCCGTCTGCCGCAGGAGGGGCAAGGTCAGGAGCAGCTTGCCTGCTCGCCGGGGCTCCTCATTGCGCTGACTCAGCTCGTAGTCCTGCAGGGCTTCGTGGAGAAGGTCCTGGAGTTTCTGCACTGCATCCATGTCCTCTATGTGCATGGAGTCTGGGGTGAGGGAGAAAAGACAGCAAACAGACAAGTCAGACATGAGAAAGGAAATCCTTTATGGTTCTGAAGCTAATGATGTTTTCTTTCCTTCTTATCTGTTATTGTGGGGGCTTTTTGGGTTGTTTTTGTTCCCCCCTGGCAGGGGGTGAGGGTTGTTGTTTGATTTGTTTCTTAAGCATAAAAAACCAGCTAGCTGGCTGGTGTGGTGCTGCTGCATGAAGTTTGGCAGCAGCCCAGTGTGTTGGCCATAGCAGGGCAGGGACAGTAGGGTTGCCAGGGGCAGGAGGGTGAGACACGTGCCCTGTGTGCTGCCCATTTTTCCAGCCAGCCCAATGCAATGCAGGGGTCAGGCAGGGCCTTTTGTGATTTGCACTTTCACTTGCCCTCCATGCTCCTTATGGGGAGAGTCACCCTGCAAGGGGCAGCAGCTGCTGTGCTGCCGTTTGGGAGCAATCTCATTAAGAATAATTAACGCTGCTACAGTGCTTCATCTGTCTAAACTGCCTAATTGCCGTGCAGCTGCTGAGGGTGTCAGCAAGACAGAAAAGCCCCAGTAGGTCACAACCAGTGTGCCCAGGGGTGCTGCCAGACCCACCTTTGTGCAGATGCCCCTGTTTTCAGAGACTGCCAGCAGCTGCTCAAGGAGCTTCCTGCTGAAATAAAGGAAACCCATGCCTCCTGCAAGGCCTCTTCCCTTAGGCTGCCAGTTAGAGTTCTATGAGCTGTTGGAGGGGCTAGCAGGGTTTGCAAGGCTCCTTGGTGTGTCTGTGAAGTGAAGGTAGCTAGCTGGTAAGGACCCAGTCCAGGGCTGAGATAGGGAAACAGACTGAGCACAGACTGCTAAACTTGTGGGTAAGTCATGGTGTCAGAGGGCAGCACCAAAGAGCAGAGAGGCATAGCATCATCAAAGCTTTTCTCCTTTTTCATCTTGCTGATACGTGCTTGTTTCTTACAACCATGACAGAGCTGGAGACACTGATGCCTTGTCTTCATTGTTCAGAGACTTTTAATCAATACTGAATCTATTGATAAAGGTTCCTGCCACAAGGCAGCAAATCCAGAAGCAATGGCAAAGAGACAGTATGGCAAGCACACATGCACTGCCTGCCATCACAGCCTGGGCTTTGCAGTGTGGCAGTGCTCTGTCTCAGCCTACACACAAACACAAATGTGAGGACATGGGTTCCCCAGAGTGACAGCAGTGAAGAGGAGGAAAGCTGACTGAAGTGCCAAAATCTCTCTAGAAACATGTCATCTTTATGGAGAGCACAACACAAATTAGAAACTGTGAATTTTGTATGATACATTTATGCTAAAAATGCTATTTATGATGCATGATTTATAAAGTATTACAACAGTTGGGAAAATAGTATGTCTAGCAAGAAAGCTGTTTAAGAAGCTGTTCAGAAGGAATGCGCTAATTAAGAAAGTATTAAAAGGAAGTATTCCCAAGAAGCCTACTGAAGAATGATTCTTGATACATTCATGCTTTTTATCCAAG